TTTTTAAGACTCTCCCAAATTGCCTGAGCGGAATGAAGAAATGTAAGGACTCATTTATCAAAGAGAAAAAGGGACTAACATACCTGAGCGGCCGATAATAACCTCACTTTCAAAAATTTACACAAAAATCAACAATCTATTGATTTTTCAGGAAACGTTCCAGCTGACATAATCACTCACTTCTCTGGCTAGTTAAATTAATATAATTTTGGGCTCGATGGCCAAGAATGAAAACCAAAGTTTTTGGATTTCTCCAGAGACGACCTTTTCAGTCTAACTATAAAATCGAAAAGAAAAGTCCAAAGTACCCCTGTAGTTCTGTCTTTCTTCCTCTGTCCAGCCTGTCGAAATTATAAAAATGACAGCGCTACCGGTTTTCAGAAAAATAACCCTAGTTAGGTTCGGAGTTGGAGTGGAGTGAACAAAACTAACCCCAATATGGTAAAAAGCAGTACCCGAACAGCTGGAGTGCGAATGGAGTCACTCGAAGTGTACGGAGTGAGCAGACCGAAACCACCTTTTGATAACATAATTTTCGGTATTAGGTCAGGAAACTAGTCAGAGGAATCATAGATGTCGCCAGGTGTACGAGATAGTATTTTAAATTTAGAGCAGGTAAAGGCGTAAGGAGTAGGAACGCGCGAGCTCTTAGATTTTAATGGCCGTTTCCACCAACCATTCCAGGGGAGCCCTAACGATAAGTATTCCCTAAAATGACATTTTTACATGGAGAAATGTCAGTTTAAGGCATACCTATTGTTAGGGCTTCCCTAAAATACTTGGTGGAAATGGCCATTAATGAGTCCAAAATATATGAAATTAATTAAGAACAATTAAATATGTTCTGGTGACATTTCAAATGTTACAACAGGAACAAAAAGAAAAATGAAATTCTATTTTTGGCTTTCAAAATCCTGACATGATCATGAACAATAATTGCCCATATCTTTATTGAATTTCGAACAAATTGAAATACATTATACACCATTGCAAAGAGCAGTGAATTCCTTATAAATCTTTGTAAAATTGAGATCGATAACTCAAATAGTTTTTGAGCAATTGAGCCTCAAATTCAACTTTTAGTCTAAATTTTGTAAAAAACTTAGAACTCAATTTGCTCAAAAACTATAAATTTGGGAACATTGTAAGTTACAGGCTATTTAGAGCTTAATAAGAGCTACAAATGCTGCTAACACCCTAGCGGCAGCCTGCTTGACATACACTGAAGAGACGTCGCTCACTGGGTATTTCCGAGTGAAACATCACCTAAAAACAATAGGTAAATCAGACAACGACCACTGCAGATCTTGAACAAGCAACAAAAACTACAGAACATTTAATTTGTGAATGCCCTGCCCACTTCTGCAAAAGGTTGAAATACCTTGAAGGGGTACGGCTAACACAAGATGTGAGCACTTTACTACCCAGGAAGCTGGCCTCCTTTGGGAGAAGCCTTCACACCAACTTGAAGCAGAGTCGTAGTCGTGCACGAATATCTAGAAAGGAAGCAGTGCTTGAGCGGCTGGAAAAAGCTGTAATGGCTCAATCTAGAATTTAATATAATTTTGAAAAAAAATTACGTTTTAGTTTTTTTGAGGGAAATGTTTGAAAGATTGAATTAAAATTTTCTATGTGAATATGAAAAAGTTCAAAATTTGAGAAAAGAAACTGTCCACTTGCTATCTTTGATTTTTTGACTTTGAAGCGTTGCATCTGCAAGAAAATTGGAGCTACACTGAAATGAAATTGTTAATTTTTTTTATATTTTTGTTTCAAACTTTTTTTTTATTTAGAGAAGAAACAAGAGCCTGGATTAAACCGAGGGGTAAACCGCTGAAAAAAATGTGTACACTAATTCCCAGGATTGTTACTAATTCCTCTAATTCCTCTCATTTCTTCTAATTTCCTTCTAATTCCCTCTAATTCCCTCTAATTCCCCTCTAATTCCCACTAATTCCCTTGTAATTCCCCTAATTTTACTAATTCCTCACTAATTCACCAAATCCACCACGTAAACTTGGCCAACATAATATGGTGTTAAATAAATCAAGCCTAAATATCTGGGTTTGCAGTAGGTATTAAAATAAAAAAGCTGGAAAAGATGAACAATTTAATCTCACATCAAAAAACTTATAAAAGAAAATAAGAATACCCGTTATTTGTATTATAAAACTAAAGATTGTTTCTGGTACCTACATATAACAATATTGGAAAAAAATAAAAAAATATTGTTTTTTAAATGCCTTATACCTGCTCTTAATATTAACTTGGTCTGCCCGTTTTAACTCGAATGGGCCTCCACCAATTAAATTAATAGGTCCGTAGAAAATAAAATCTTTATAAACGGTATCAATGTCTTCTTTTCGGGGCCAAATAAATGTGTCGAGCTCTGCTTTCAGAAACTTTATTTTATAATATGCGTTTCCTTTATCTTCAATTATTCGACCAATGAACCATGATTGGTCATAGAAAACCGCATAATAGTTTTCTAAATGTATCTCCGGTACGGCAGTTTCCGATAAATTTTCTGATTGACACGGCAACATCTCATCTGAAAACTCTTCCAAATCATCGGAGTCGTCTAGTTCCATCACGTCCCAATCAGTGGATGAGTCAGTGCTTGTGCCACTAGCTTGATCCATGGGTAGCTTCTGTTTAGTCTTTTTCAAGGTTGGCTCGGAGTTTTTGGAAGCTGATTTCTCAGGTGTTTTCCGAGGTGCTTTCCTTGTACTGCCTATAAATCTTTTTAATCGGTCAGTGCTTACTCTACCGTTGGACTGATCTAAAAGCCAGCAGTACGACGACTTTTTGATAATTGAGGTTTTTTTACCGATAACTACTTCAATATACGGTGATTTTTCCGATACAACATGCACTTTTCCGGAAAAGTCTTTTAAATTTATAGAACCCGTTTCCAAAGTATCACCTTCGCCATCTTCATTAGAAATCTCCGAGGAAATATTCTCCGAAATTAAGTCCATAACCTCGTTCATAACTATATTGCTCTCACCACTAATATTATTTGTGTTTGCCACATCATGGTCAATTTCATTTTCTTCACAGTTCTCGCCAACTTCAACGTCGTCTTCGTTCATGTTTACGTTCTCCTGTGTAACTCCGATATTTTGTTTCCGTTTTATCAATGGTACCTGCATAAATTTCCAATCGTTTTCTTGTGCATTGAGGCCGAAATATCTCATGTCCTCTATGACATTTTGTAGAGCTTCTTCAATTATAGCTTTGATATCCAAATTGAGAATTTCATCTTCACGTGGTAAATTTTCTTTCATCAGTCTGTCTTTTAATCTTTTTTCTTCCCTTGGAAATGTGAAAGTCCCCCTCAGATCGTTTATGGTATCAATTGTTGTCTTAATTCTCTCAATTCGGTTCAGCATATCCTTTATACTAAAATTAATTATTGTGGAATATGTAGAGGTCACGGACCTAGCAGCTCGAAATAAGGATTCACATGCTTGGCTACCGAAAATATTGATGCTGAACATCTCTGGTTTCAACTCACCGCTTTTAAGCTTGAGTATTAGTTTAATTAAAGCATGGGCGTTAATCTCGATACAAAGGTAACAGTTACTTGTCAAAAAGTTGTCTGTTATTTTATATTTTTTTTCTGATTTAAGCCAGGATCTCCAGATTCTGGTAAAAAATACAACATACCAGATGTCATATAGTCTAGTACGCAAATCTGTGTTGGAATTTAGGAACGCCGATTCGACGTAGTACATAAGCTTAAGATACGCCACACTACCTTCACTTTGTGGAATTTCTTTTTTCAGTTGTTCAATTACTATCAAACTGCACATTTTTTCTGCCGATGCGAAATTCATCTTGTCTTCACTTCTGAGATCAGAATCTGTTAGAAGATGTTTGTCTTTTGAAACCTTCAAGATCAACTGTCTAAGATGATCAGAGGTGGCAGTATATTTCCCAATTGGCAAATTTATTCCAGGTTTTAGGAAACGAGTACGCATTTTTGTTAAAATATGGGTGGTGTCCTGTACATAACATTCTTCATTTTTTTCAATGCTGCAGTGGTACCACTCCCAATCTGGAACTGGCAATGAATCAAGTACCTCTGTATCTTCTGGGTTTGTTTGGTTTCTTTCCTTATATTCAGGTGCTAAACGGGAAATCAAATCAGTATTTAAGCGCATAGCTCTGAGAAGGCGAGTATCGCCGTCTGAGGAAAATCCCATAATTGTGATGCCAAATTTTTTAGCTTCCTTCTTCATCCATTCCCATCTCAAAGTGACCTGTTCAGTAGTGAATGAATTATCAGTTCCGAATAAGGACAAGCAGTATGTTGATGCCCCAACATGTAACGGTTGTGCCATTATTACATAAGCATATGTTGCTTTTACTCCGGTTTGAAAATATGCCTTGATTGCTTCAGCAGAAGTGGCAGGAAACGTACCTTGTTGAAGCAGACCATCCCTCAATGGTAAAACCAATCCTATTACATTATTAGATTTGCTGTCATATTCAATTTTGCCTGTTACGCGAGTGCCATCCTCGGATACCCAAATCATTTTTGGTAAACCTCGATCAGTTAAGTGTTTTAATAGGCCTTTAAAATCAAATCCTCCTTCTTGTAGAGGCTCGTTTCTAGTGTCCAAGAATCTATTTAGGGTAGAAATTGAAGGTAAACTATTCTCTAAATTTGCCTTTAGTGTTTCATAAAGTAACCTCCCCCCAATATAAAACAGGTATACTGCGAATTTTTTTGTAGCATCATCGTATCTGTTTCTATTGTTTGAGCAAGTGCAATTCTTGAGTGATAAATCCTGCAATGTTTTGAGTAATCTCGGTAACTCAGACACAGAATTATCAGTGTTTTGGACAGTTTCTATTTCACTTATGTTCTCCAAAAGTTCATCAGCTAGTCCACTATTTCTACTTACTACTTCACTCACTTTTTCAGCAATAAAAAAGTAATTCGTGATTAAACTTTGGTCGTCTAATAAGTTTTCTCTAGCTCGTCTCACTCTTTCATGCCTCTGATATTTCTGTCTTTTCCATTTTGATGGTACTTTATCCATATCTTGGTTGTCGATTTTGCACAGTTGATTCGATGAGGTATTCGTTGATTCATCAATACTGTCTAGGCACCTATCGTTAGCTTCAAAGAGACCGGTGTGGTCCTCGGTGGGGTCGCTGCTGTTTGCCTCTGAGAGGGTACCAGAAGCCGTGCCGAAAGCAGTGCTCGTAGCGGATTGAAACCTTGAGTCTAGATAAACATCACACAGTTTTTTCGGCAAAGTATTGGTGGAATGTGAGGCAGGAGCTCGGGAAGGAGATAAAACGACGTTACCAAGAATTTTAACTTTTGATGACTTTTTATTCAGGATAGGATTATTCTCGTGATCATTAGTTACCAAATAGGAAGTGATGGAATGTTGTTGAGGACGTGCTGAAATTTCTGTCGATACATCAAATGCCGAGGTGGTTTGTGTTTTGAAATGTTTAGTCATGAAGTGTGTATGAAAATTTGAGTAAATCCAACTTTTCTGCTTTTTCCCAGGTTTAAGTATTTTGGGGAGTTTGTATGTCGCGTTACAGAAGCAGGTTACTTTCGAGAACATCTCTTGTTGGTCGAGTGAAGTTACAATTTTAATATCATCGAATTTATGCTGAAGCGTTTCCCATAAATCGGCTTTTGCCTTTGATTTTGCCCATTTCTTCAAATTTCGAAAAATCAAGGCATTCTCGTCTGTCAAGTTCACAGCTCGGTTCACGACAGGTTTCTGATTGGTAATCTCCCTAGCATTGTTCTCGGAATGGAGTTCTTCCTCTTGGGATTCGTCACTCAACAATTCTGAAGATTCAACAGAAGTTTTTGACCTCTTCTTGGGGGGCCCTTCTCGATTAGTTGGCGCTTCCCTTGGCGCAGATGCTTGAATTTCTTTTTTGTGTGATTTTCTTTTCTTTTTGAAATGTTCGATCATCCAAAGTAGGACTTGTTGGTGTGCGGGTAGCATTTTGTAAATTTTAGGATTTTTGCTATATATTCCATAGTATTTTGCTCGATCTTCCTCATCGATGAGCTGAAATAAATCAGTCCTCGCAAACTTTTCTATTTCTGTTATAGTTGCTTTGGTCATTCCAGCTATTAAAGCTTCATTTTCATAGCCACAGCTCTTCAATAAGTTTTTCAAAATTTCTGGTATTTTAATATTAAGTGCCCTTTCCGCCTCTTCAAAAACATCCCCATTCCCGGGTTCACCAGTATCACTCATCTGTAAAAAAAGTATCCCATAATTAATAGTTTCCGAGATAATTCCCAATAAACCCAACAACGACAATCACACCATAACAACAAAAAACAACTTCCCTACCCAGAAACAACCCCTATATGCTGCTTATGGGAATCTTAATAAAATTAAATAAAATATCGTGCAAAATATCCACGAAAATAGCTCTCACAAATAAGTTGTTTTTTGATCTTGCGCTTAAATAACTCCTTAGGAACATCAAAAGAAACATCCATTGCTTAATATTTTCAATTTCACCCCACCGCCACCTTTCAATTTGTTACTATTTCAGTATTGATCAGGTATATCGTTGAAATAGTACGATTTTTCTAATCACTATTCTCAAGTAATAATAAGTGTAAAAAAGTGTAACCCAGAGCAAAAAGTGTAAGAATACAACTCGATACAACCCAATATTAAAAGTAGGTATAAGTCGAGGTACTTTACTTGAATTGAAATGAATTTAGTATTTGAGGTTAGGTATAGGGCACACCGAGGGGCACACTATCTATCTACTTCTATAATTATTGACCTACGTGAATAATAAATTTTATTGACCACATGGCGAGAAGAGCTTGTGATGAGATTAATTGGACAATAAAATAAAGGCTATTTCTACTGTTAGTCTTAGAAAAAACATATTTACTTACTGTATAACGAGCTGTATATAGAATAATCTATGCAAATTGATCACCTCATTGGCACTACAGTCACTCCACCACTGAGACGCACTCGCTCTGAGATTATTATTTGAAATTTATTATTTTATTTGTTTTTGTTCTCGGTTTATATGCCTCGATTTTAGAAACAGTGGAATCTGGAATAATTTCACCATTTGCTGACGGCTATTAGGCCACTGTTGCCAGTTGATGTTGCCAACCAGCAAGTAAATTTACCGAGCTGAAGCGAAATAGGCTTCACTCACGCAGCTACACTTGATCACGCGTTGCCGATGCGACGTTGCGTAATCTACTAATTTGCTTTTGGTTTCTTCTAATTTCCTCTAATTCCCCAGTAATTCCCTTCTAATTCCCCACTAATTCCACTATTTCCTTACTAATTCCCCAAATTTCCCGATAATTCCCCTAATTCCCCAGTAGTTTCTCTAATTCCACACTAATTCCTCTAATTCCTTACTAATTCCTCGATATTGTACACCAAAATTCCCCTGCGGTTTACCCCTCGGATTAAACAAAACATTGAACGAAAAAAAATAAAAATAATGCGCAATAAAAAAAAAATGAGAGATTTTTTTGATAAGCTAGAACTTTAGGCGTTGAAACTCTTCAAATTTCATTCAACAAACAGGCAACAACAACAATTAAAATGAATTTGACTAAATTGGCCAATTATGATTAATATCCTCATTGTTTCCAAAATTATCGACGACTTGGTTTAGACTGACGTTATCAAATCAACAACTTTTTCAGGATGAACTCAGAGCATGTAAATTATTCAGGAAACGTACTTTAGAAGGTAAATAACTATAACGCCGTCCAATTTGAGTCAAATTACTTTATTTGAAGTTGTAACTATAAAATTAAGTTATTTTTTGACTGGACTGGGCAGTAGCAAATAACCTGGAGTCATAATAGTAAATAACACCATTAATTAAGTACCTATTCCATATTTAAGTAAAACGAAACAACGTAATTGCAATAGTGCAAATAAGGCCTTTTTGTGATAGCCACCTGAAGGCAAACAATATCGAATTTGAAATATCAATGGATGTATTTAATTTTAATGACACTTAAACCAACTTAAACAATAAATTAATGTTTTGCTTTTGAATGAATTATGTCTTGATTCCCTAAAATAAACAAGTGACAATTAAATTTAATAGTAATCCAAAAACTAATAATTGCATCCTTGTCGGCCTACACCGACGTTACACAATCACTAAATGCCTCTTCAAAGTGTTAGCGTAGGTAAAATATAATTATTTCAGCCCATCAGATAAAGCGCCCGTAGTAGCTTATTTGTTTTATTTTAGTAATTTATATCTCCGCGGAAGCCAAGCAGCTTGTTGCATGCGTTATTCCGGGAATTCATGGGAGCTCAAGTAGCCAACCTGTTAATCTAGTGATGAAATAGGTTGCCATTCTTTCCCAATGGCGTTTAGTTATTTTGCAAATAATAAACAAGTAGCTGCAATATTGTTTATTTATGTTGATAGGTTCCGCCTTATATTTATAAATTATTATTATTGATAAATATTGAAAATATAATTAAATGGAACACGAAAATCACTTAATCGTGAGTAGTGAGGCCATCGATTTTTTTTTACTACAATTTATTGTGATTTTATTTATATTTGTTTTTGTACTTCCTTTTTCGCTTTATTTACCCACCGGTTGAAGAGCATTTAACTTTATTGCTTCTCATCTTTCTTAGATAGAATGCGGAGGCTCAAATTGGTACCTGGTAGGCAAAATCACAGCGAACAATGGGGAGTTTCACTATATATCTGTTCTTTAAACAAATCTTTTAAAAAAACCAAATGAAAAACAAATAGGACCTACGTTTGTTACGGCATGATTTTTCCCGCACTAAAATAAAAGGAAATAAGCTTATTCACCTCTCTGAATAGCATACCTTCCTCAAGCCACTGTTTTCTATCCAATAGTTGTAGCCACACTTTTCATCGAACTTTTCATTCTTCCCAAAATTATTGAGTTGGAGGTTTATTAATGGAATTGATTTCCTGTTAGTAGGGTTAAAATAAATAGTCAACTAATTTATTAACAAACAAAATTACAATATTTACACTAGAACAGCTGATGTCTGATCGGAGTAGATTGTCTAGATTGACAGCGCTCCAAATAGGGTCCATGACCGGTACTAACTTAATTTGAATAAGTACCATGCCCCAACTACCATCAAAATCCCCAGTACCTTCCACCTTGGAGTTTTGACAGACACTTTTTAAAGGACATTGCAGGGACATTCAGAGGTCATTCAGGTCGAGGACTTTTCACGATTAAGTGTTCGGGAAAATTCCTCAGGCACATTTTGCCGATTTTCTGAGTTGTCTAGTTTTCGCTCATAGATCTAGGGTGGCCAATCGTTATTTTAGCACCCAATCGCCTTGTGCGAATTTTATTTGTGAGTCGAGAAAAAGCAACATGACCAATTGTTTGTTCCTAAAGGTCAAAGTATTTTGGTGAGTCGTTTTTCTTATTAATCTACTCTGTTTCTCTATTTCCTATGTAAAAGCATAGTTTTCTGTTAATTATACGGTCAAATTCCGAATATCGGACATACCTACCTATTGCTCCACGCCCTGTCTCATAACGTCCATTTGTTTCAGGCCTTTAATCTTCACCTTTAGAAGTTACGCTTTAATCTTTACCCTAAGATGTCCCCTTTTATTCGTCACGCTTCAGTCCCTAACTTTCAGTAAAGAGTTATATGTTATACGTTAAGCTTACTGTATACTTCGAGTAGGACCTACAATCTTCAGCCTCCTTTAGACAATTGGAAGCCTTAGTGCCCAGGGCCAGTTGCTTCTTGTTGCGGCCTTGATCCAGTCCCAGGCCATTGGAAACACTGGAAGATATTGATCTCACCTGTCAGGTTCTCCCCAAGAGATTAGGGACTACTCAGGTTTGACAAGTGTGTTGTATTGTCCTAGTATCAAACCTTGCCAACCCCTTGTTGGAGTAAAACACCACAACAACGCAGATTTACCACCTTAACAATTATCCTTCAGATTATGTGTTGCTATTTCAATTTTTAATTAAGTATAACTATATCACCTTTTTTTTTTATGAAACTTGCCTTCCAGGTTATGCATGGTTAGGTACTTCAATTTTATTAGGTATCTAGGTATCTATACTACCTATATTGTTACATAATATTAAAGCCCTTCAGGTTACGTATTGTTACTTCTACTTTGATTATTGCTGCACTGAATACAGGTAAATACTTGTACACTGGGGTTAAATGGCCATTTACGAAGGTACTGCATTTAGTGAGCTTGTATATTGAACATTTATATTTCAGGTATTATTGCTGTTGTACGGTACTCTTTACTTTAAGGGACTCGAGTTAATTTTTTTTGTATTTACTATTTTTAGAGTATATATGTAGGTTAGGTACTCCTAGTCTAGGCGATTTCTTTACTTCTTTGAACCTGTTCTAGAGTCAACCTGTTCTGGTTCTAATTAAAACCGGCACCTGATTATATTTAGCAAAGCGTTTCACTTGTTGTCCTTTCTTCTTTTTTACGGTTATATTTCAGATTGTGCTGCTATAGTTCCGTAGAAGTTTCCTGCTTTCGTTATATCGGTTGATTTCGTGTACTGCAGGGAAAAAGTAGGTGGCGCTCTATATTTAGTTAATTAATTAACCCACACCACTCTCCGTATTGGAAGCTAGTCGGCAACCCTATACACGAAATCACGTTTCTAGATTTCAGCCACCAACCACCCCTTTCTTTCTATTCTTTTTCTTTTTAGTTACCCATTAACTTTCCTCCCTTCCTCAAATCTTATCATTAACTTCTCCGTTACGTTTTGCCACGTAATAAATTGGCACGTAACACGTTCTCGAAACTCAATTTCACCTACTTGACATGCCCCTAACAGCATAATTAGGGGAATTTGAGGAAAGTTGCGATATGTAAAATAAACGAAAAATTTGTGAAACGTCTGATTTATTATTAAAAAAAATTGTACCGCTCTCGACCTGGAATTCACGAGGAAAAAGAGCACGGCAGAGAAACCCTCGACCTAAGTTCCTCAAAAATCAAAACATACTGTGTCATTTTAATAATAATTGTAATTGTAATTCAATAATCAATAATAATTCAAATTAGGTGCCTACCGCCCCTGTGCTAAAATTTTCATTCCACGCACCACATTCAATCAACACCATCCATATTCAATACGCCAACTGGTCTGTCAGCAGGTACTGAGGTACCATTCGTGAGGCTACTCAGCTATAGTTGTTATTTTGAGCCAATATCTCTAGATTGATTATTTCAATTTGTTTACCAGGATACTCGTCCAGTCAAGGTAGGAAAGTGTTAGTAGATTCAACAAGGCCCTAATGCACGCTCTGAATAAAAAAATTAAAATCCCAGCACAAAAGACAGCGCATAACTTCTTTAGGTTTTAATTTACTTTTCTCTGCATTGTCCACAGACCACAGCATGAAACGATTTTTGTTAAATACAGTAACAATGCACATGTTATAAAATATAGTATAAACAAAACAAAAAAAAAAACATAAAAATGAAAAAAAATAATACTTCCATAAATTGAACTCTCGACAACAAAATAACATTTTTCTATTCTGGTGTCATATTGAAGTCTTTTCGACACTAAAAGTAGTTTCGAAAAGAAGCTCTTTGTGACACTCCTTTTTTACTTATCGAAGGTTGGTAACACTGGCTGACTGATGGCCATCGAACTGTCATTCGCGATTTTATAATAGAAGATTTCTATATTTGGCAAGTAGTGTTACCAACCTAAACATATGAAATCAGGAAATATGAGAATAAAATGTTCAAGAAAAATCTGTTTTTCTTAATTAAACAATACCAAAATAGAAAAAATAGTATAAAATATTCGTTTCATAAGACATTTTATCGCACTCGCCCTTTAGAAAACTCGCCTCCGGCTCGTTTTCTAATATAGGGCTCGTGCGATAAAATGACGTCTTATGAAACTTGTATTTTAATGTACTATTATATAACTGACCTATGAAATGCTGTACGAGCCTATTGAATGAGCATTTTCTTCCAGTTGGCTTTAAAATGCCCCATATTTTTAAAAAATAACTTTTAAGCGGTTTCCATACCACATAAAACATACTGAAATGGCGCCAGCTTATGACGTAGATACCCACCCGATCAATAAGAATCGTCCACAATGGCTTTGACACACAGCTCTAATGCTTTCCTTGTCCTAGCTCTGCAGATCGATATTGATGAAATTCCTCATTCGTTATTTGCACCTTGTTCGTAAAGTTTTCTGAACTAGTGTTCTTAGAAGCTAATAACGTCATGTTAGTACTGTTGCAGTAGTACTAATTGGATTCATATTGAAAACCAATAATTTGAATTTCACTTGCCTTGCTGGTTTTTGTTCACAGTCCTCCGAAGTTTTCTGGTATGCCTTGGACACGGTTTAGACCACAGAAAACTGCGTATAGATTTTTTGAGGTAAATTCAGACAGTTACATTGTTCCCTTAGACTGATGGATAACTTAGTTTTCAGTTTTGCACCATAAACTCCCGCTCCCACCCCACTGTGTCTCCTCGATCCATCCATGAACAGACAAAGATCTGCTTTTAGTAGGGGATGCTCATCTTGCATTCACTCTTGGGAAAGCCACTGTGTAGGGTAAGGCGCTTTTTGTGTGTGTTCTTCGCATAAGGTTCGTAGGCATTGTATGTGTTTTGATAAACTCCAGCAGTTTGGTGCCTTCCACGTTCCCTTTGTCATCCACTTGACTTTTGCTCGTGTGGTATATTCTGTAGGTTGTCTTTAGGGCTGCCGTTGAGCTTGGTTTTGGTATTTGTAGTATGCTGTTGTCCCTTCTCCCACCAGACTACTGAGCCACATGTTATCATCGGTTTGATGACCATGATATATAACCAGTAGGTATATTTGCTTGTGCCCAATTTTCCATGCTTTGCCACAGATCCTGCAGCAGATCCATAGCTAGCTTTCTGTTTTTTTTTTGCCAGATAGAAGTACAAGGTCAGGTAAGCCTTTTATCTAGAATAATTTCTAGATATTTGACTTCGTTTGCAAAGGGTACCACCCTCCTGCAGTGATTAAGGGGTATCCAAATGGTCACGCTTCTTTTTTCTTGTAAAGGGCATGACAGTTATTTTGTGAGGATTTGTTGTCATATGCGCAGTCTTGCACATGCAAGTATTCTGTCTCTTAATTCCTGAGAAAAATCCTTCAGAAAGTCTACATTCCGATTTTACCCTTATACTTTGTCGTCCGCATAGGCCTGCAGGTCGACCACTCACAGTTGGATTATGGCCAGCAGGTTGTCCACCAAGAGAGACTACAGGAGAGGAGAGAGAACCCCTCCCTGCGGACAGCCCCTGGCAGCCCTAAACTGTACTGTTTTTCCCCTGTAGCGTCATCATTATATACATGTTCTCAAGTATCTTGGGAATCGAGTCAGAGATAAGAGGGCACAATTTCTCTGGAAGTAGCCGATTCATAGAGGGAGTTATTAGGAGTATTGTTGAAAGCTCCCTCTATGTCTATGAACGCTGCTAACGCAATCTCCTAGTTGAGAGGAGACTGGTTGATTTTTGCGATCCATCTCTGAAGAGCAAGTTCCGTCAATTTGACACTCTGGTTGCAGTACTGATGAACACTCAATGGGTTGTGCTCGAATGGCCCTTTCCTGATGTGTGCGTCCAGCACTTTTTCCAAACTTTTCAGAAGAATAGATGTAAGACTTATTGGTCTGAACGATTAAGGTTGATGGTCGGCTCTACCTTCCTTGGGTATATATACTACCCTTGTCCTTGACCAGCTAGTTGGTATGTGACATAAAGCTAGGCTTGATCTGAATATCCTAGTCAATGAAGTACAATATCCAGTTCTTTTTAGAGTACAGCCAGAAATACACCATCTATCTCTGGCGATTTGTGAGGATGGAACGATTTTGTCACTCTTCTTATCGCATGCGCTGTGATTATTTTATTGACAACCCGCCAGTGATCCCTTCGAAATTGTTTGACTCGTGCTGCTGGGGGAGATATCAGTGAGCTGTCAATTATTTGGCGGTCTGGGCAATGGTTCTCTGCCAACACCTTCAGCGCTTCTTTCCTAGAGGTAGTAAAGTCGTTTAAGCAATGCCAGGGCCCGCACCGGTTCTCTGGACAGAATCTTGTAGATTCTGGCACTGCTTGGTGCATCCGACTCACTTTCACAGAACCTTTTCCACGAATCTGTTTTCGCTTTCCTAATCTCGGGCGTTATTATAGTTCATTAGAGTCGCTCTATATTTTTCCCATTCTCCAGTATCTTGAGCTCGATTCTTTCCTGGAATTGCTTCTGTTTTTTTTTTTTTTTTTCGTGTTTTAACTTTAGTAGGTAATTTTCGTGATATGCTGACATTATCACAGTGGTTAGTTGATCCGCTGCGTACTTAGCTGTTCACAATTGGCTAATTGCAGTAGGGGCATTTACCAGGTAGAATTTTAGGGATTTATTATAGCCATCCCAGTTTGTGGCCCTTGAGTCGCGGTACTGCACGGTTTGATTGGAGCCTACACTAACCTTGAATTGTATTTGTCGATGATCCGAACACGATGATTAAGTACAGACCTTCCAGTCAGTTTTTTTGCTCAAAAAGCATGAGCTAATTGTAATGTCAAGTATCTCAGCTCTATTTCTAGTGACAAGGTTGGTTCAGAGCTCACATTCTTAACAGTAAGTCCCTCCGCCAGTAAGTAGTTCAATAGTTACCTCTTTGATTGGCATATGCGCTGCCACCCACCATCCAGTATGGTAAGAGTTCGCATCCCATCAAATCACCAGATGTTTATTGTTCCTTCTGCAGTGTTCGACGAGAGCTTTTACTATAGCTGGAGGTCGTTCTTCTGCCGCCCTGTCTCTCGGGATGTATGCGGAGCAGACGATTATCTCCGTCTTGCTCTTCTTCTCCGGGAGAGTTTTTTTTTTTTTCTCATAGTTTCGAGCCCATGCTCTGCACTGAAGCGCATTGTGGCTTATTGTACATCATTTACATGGACTCTACTCCTTCCTATTCATACTAGAATCTAAAAGGTCGGCCCCTATCATGCATCCCCCACCCTAAGATGGTCCGATAGATACACTAACCACTAGGCCGAGGGAAGAGTTCAAAGTATTTTAAACTCTTTCTGGTAAGTTCTGGGCCTTATTCCAGGACCCAATTCAATTACCTTAGAACGAAGAAAGCTGCCTTGGTATGTTGCAGGTTTGTCTGCATTAGCCTGGCTGTTTTCGCAGCCAGACTGAGCCAAGGTTCCTTCCTCCGTTGTGGGTGGTCCACCGACAGTCCTCCCGGAGAGTTGTGGTAGTGGCTGCGGCGGAGGAGGTTTGGTTGCAACTCTATCGTGCTTCCCGTCCGAGTCTTTGCCTTTCTTTTTCTGAATCACTCTGCCTGGGATCGCTTAACCTTTCCCAGGCATGTTTTTTTTCCCTTCTGCTCTTCTAGGTGGCTCTTTTGGATATATTTTCGAGCTTGTGGGTGGTCGATTTCCGCTAGGTCCAGAAGTTGCTTGATCATCTGATGATCTCTGCCTTGGGTGGAATCGCACCTGCCCAAAGCCAAAGTATCGCCTGAACTCCAGTTCACTTGGTGTTTTCATTGACAGATCGTCAATGGCGAATGGCCAGGTTTGACCAAGACCCGAATCTTCCAGATGCAGGACAATCCATTATTGGGTGTTCAGGTCGGTTCATCCTTCTCAACCTTAGAAGCACCTCCTCCGGCGTCAGACGTTTCGTCCGGTAAATACGCCATAGACGTGAGACGTACCGTCGGAAAGTCCATTGCTCTGAGAAACTTTCCTTTGGCTTCTTCCTATGGCTGCAGGTGCTCAAACGTCTTTTCCAGCCATCTGAGGCTCTCCTCGTCTGCGCAGGTTATTTGTAGTCATCCAGGCCTATGCGAGCAGCTCTGGAACCTAATCTTCGGACCGTCATCGGTCATTTTGTTGACGGCCTTAATTACTGCCTGCTGTAGGGCACTCAGTTGTATGTGCGTGAAGCACTTGTTGGGGAATTCGGGGTGGATTAATCCGACCCTTCTAACCGCAGCAATGTCCCGGTACCGTAGCATATCGGGCCAAGCCTTCTTCATACACTGCTCAGGGATATTAACTGCTAAACGTAGGCGCTTGCTACCTCCAACAGATTCAGAGTTGGATTTACCCCCCATTCCTGCTGGCTAGGTCGATAGTCGTGCCTGGCTGGATGGGATGATTGCTCCACCCCATGCTGCCCCTGTTTCTCTTCACGTTGTTTTAGTATATTTTCCAAGGCGGTTTGGTACGGTGTTCCGCCCTTGAGGAGGTTCCTCAGACGTTTTTATGTTGATTTTGGGAGTGTGTTTATTGTTTTTATTTTCGTTTCCAGAAATATTAACAATTTGGCTTTGTTATACCTCAGGATGAAAGCCAGGTTTCTAAAAGTAATCTTGAAAATCAACAATAGCAATGACAATCTGACGTCACAATTTTTGGGTACGAATTGGCAGTAGGTATATTATTGCTAGTTGTAGCGAATGACGTCATATTCGCCAGTTGTTTTGGTCGTTTGAAATGCTGCTGAATTTATTTTTTTCGATAAAAAATTACCGTCTCAAATGTTTCCCAAAATACTGTTAACAACGACGTAGCTATGGCTTTTACATGGGGGGTGGGGGTTAGAGCAGTGGCGGCTCCTGGTCTATGCTGGAAAGGTTTTCAATTTTAGACCAAACGCTGTAGAGGTAACCTAGGATAGCCGCCGGAGGATACCGCCAAAGGCGAAAATTTTCTTCGGGTTCCACGCTCAAAAAAAAAAAAATCAGTTCAATGGGGGGGAGGGGGGTTTGAACCACCAAAACCCCCCCTTATATACGTCCTTGACTGTTCACTTAGTTTGTGTTCTACAATTAGAAAAAATAGAAAAAATAGTATGTATCAAGGGAATTATGAGGGTGGTAATACCCCAGGGCAAAGTTTGTGTCCCGAGGGCCTTTGGCCCGAGGGAAACCAATTGCCTGTGGTTATTAACACCTGATAATTACCGTGGTACATAGATAGTTTTATTTCCTACTGAATTTACTGTATTTTGTTCATTTTTATAAAGGAATAAACCATAAACCAAAATTTCTATTTTTTCTCAAAGTTTTACCTATTCAAGGTAAAAGCGGGAGTTATGAAATTTTTAACTCCCTTGGAAGTTATGATATCCTTAACTCCCGCGCGGGAGTTATGAAATTTTTAACTCCCTTGGAAGTTAAGACCCTGTTTATGATTATCGTAACCAAGGTATTATATGGTTATAATAGTTCAGTAGGAAATAAAATTACTAAATCTTCCCATTAGTAATATTACGAAGTAAATAAAATAAATGACAAGTGTGATCGATTATCCCCAAATTCGTTTTGAATCAAATTGACTACGTTTATTCCATGCGTTGTATCCAGATACTAAGTGGATTGTCATAATGGGGATTAATAATCCTGAAATAAACACCCAGGATTCGAGAAATAATCTGGATCGGAGTACTTAATCTAATCTTCTAAATTTGTAGGATTGGAATTTAGATGGATTATTTCAAATATGAAATAAACACCTCAAATCTCGGATTTAAGAAGTTTGTTGCTAACTTCAAGAAAAAATGGCCTAAGGCTAATAAAAACTAAAAACCTAAAAAGTGTATCAGCTGATTCCCTTTAATGAAGAAAGCAATTTGGGCTTGCGCATTTAACAAGGCTTAGGAAAGGATTACCACTAATCCTAATCCATTTAATAGTTGTGACATAAACGAATATGGATTAATAATTGTTAATCCACTTAGTATCCGGATACAACGCGTGAAATAAACGTAGTCATTGTCCAAAATGCATGTTCTTGAGGACTTTCATCCAATCCACACATCAAATTGATAATCCACTAATTCCAATTAATCCTGATAAATGCAGATTCGTATACTCGACCCAACTAAAAACGTTCTCAATAAAAGGCAACGAGGCACATTTCACCGTGCCACGAAGATAAAAGATACGATGGCGTATGCTGCACCTGTTCTCTTACCATTATGGAAATTTTTATATTGTTTGGCTTCGTTGGGTCACTATTGTCTTGAGTATGGCATGCAACTGTCAATTACTTCCTTGTACCTTTGAAATCATATATTGTGAAGAATTTTAATGGATTTAAGACTTGTCCAAATAAATACTTACCTAGATATCTGATTTAGAAAAAAAACTATGACTCGCATCTGCGATTACTATAATTATTGTGGTATCCACTGTTTAGTTTTACATTATCTTTATGTAAAATTAAACATAATAAATAACAAGACAATGTTAACCACTTGCATTTAATTACATCCATTCAACTTCTATGAAGATTTCATTGGTAGACCTTTGACCTTAAGTTGAAGCACACACGCGCACTCTTCATCAATGCTAATGAGGCACTTAGTTCATGGGTGGTAAGACTTTGTCTACGACAAGACAATGTTTGCATTCTTACAACAAGACTCGGGTTTTCAGACGATGACGAAATTGGCTAATTGTGTTGGCCTACTTGCTGGGCGGACGTTCCTATGCGGTATTTTGAGGTGTTGAAGACATCGTAGCCGAAAATAGCTATTTGATTGATCATTCAAGAAGATTGAGCATGTAAACGAAATCCCTTCTAAATTGAAGTGTTTTCAACCTGTCCAAGAGTCAATCAAGTCTTAAATTGATGTGCCCCATAATATCATCAAATTGCTATTTGATTTTTACTTTTTAAAACTATTTCAGCATCGATATAATTTCTATTATTTGATAGCGAGCCGATAAAACCATTAAAACAGATTACTTATTAAGATGAATTACTTTCAGGTGTTTGATTGATTGCGCACTGATCGGAAATAATAAAAGTCGAAATTGGAATTCCTTTTGTGTACTAAAATGGCGGAAATGTTTTACAATGATTTTGAGCTTCCAATAAATCTTTATTCGGAATGATACGGCATATTTTGCACAAATAAGTAAGTATTTCAGTAAGTACACATTATATGTCTTTTTTCTTTGATATCTGATGTATGAATATTCGCTCCAATTTAGGTTGTTTTTTTTTGGTAAATGTATATTTTGAGCATAATTTGGATTAAAAACAAGTAGAAAACCACAAAAATGTCATTGGAATACAATTTTACACTGCTCGATATCCAATAGAAAAAGCAGAAAGGCAGCATATTTAGGACAAATTGTAGCATTTTCAATTTCTTGGCTAATATGCTACTTTGTTTTGCTCTAGTGGATATGATTCCATATATATATAATGAAATAAATGAATAAACGACTATCTTTTTTGTGCCCAGATTTTATTACCTTGAGTACTGCCTTCTACTAAAAGTTTTTTAGCTCAGGTTTGCAAGTTTGGTAGATTGATCTAGGAAGGTTTGATTCAGTACGGCAGGGCCCGCTGTTATTGATTAGAATCTTAAAAAAAGGAGAGAGTATCATCATCTCTGCAAATTCAATTAATAAATAATCTGAGGTTATGATAATTGTTGTTTACTTTTTTTGATTTTCCAGTTCCACCATGTCATTGAACAGCTGTCTTGTCTAGGCGTTTTCATAAGACCTGTTCTACTTTTTATATATGTTCTATAGGCAATTTTCAACATTCACCACTTATCTGGAGTCATTGGCCGCGTTCACCAGATACAAACATTGTATAACGTACTTATTTTGGCAATTGCCTAATTATACTGCTACGGCTAGTCAGCTTCAGTTCGGAGGCCATGGGTCTATGGGTTCCTTGTATACATCTTATCTCGGCGCCACCAAGTTAATTGTGACTTAACTAGGAAGATTACTTATTGATGTTATAACAAAACCTGTGCAATTGGAGAGCTTATCAATAAAACAACTAATTAGGTACAATAATGTATCTGGCTTCTTTATTAAAAATAATAACAAAATATAGGGATAGCCAGGAGGTTATTGAAAATGTGTTTAGAATAATGCTTGTACCAATTTATAAATATTTGATTATAAAAAAAATAAGAATGTAAATAATGTATAAAAATATTGATTTTAAAATAAACAGTTTTAACTGTCTGTTTACACTTGTGAAAGATTAGAACCACAATATCAGTTACACTATACCAAGAGGCATATTCAACACCAGAAAGGTGAAAATTATTGTTAGGGCAACCTCAGGGTAAAATTCTAGAATTTTATTTAAGGGGCACTTACCAAACGTAAATCAGTATCAAGTGGTTTATATAAGATTTGCCTAAATAGTAAAAAGTGCAACTTACATGTGTACAAGTGTTGATTATCTTCAAAGGTGTGTGTGTAAATTTAGAAGTTCCCAAAGTGAGGTTATCTACATGTTTGGTCTCACTGTAGATCCAGACAGCAGTTCTCCAGTTCTAAATTTGTCCCGACTATTATATGGTGAGTGAGTCCTATGGAAGTCCTATCCACGTTTTATCTGTCGTAGACGTAGAACTCAACGTGGTTCAATCAGAGTGCTACCAAGTGGGTTGCTGAAGGGAGGCTACCAAAGCCAACTAAGAGCAATCTAGATCTAGTCTAGAATCTCTTTAATTACAGCCTAGGAGCTGTCTAGATATAGCCTAGAGTCTTCCAAGTATAACCTGGCACTAGGACCCTATAACGATGTTCGTATAAAAAAACAAATCGAGCCCCAAATATTAGAAATAATCTTACCTCAAATTGAGGGATACTCTAGACCAAAGGTGAAGTCTTAAACTTCCAAAAGCTGCTCGGAACAGTCCTATTGAAGAAACGAATCACGTGTTGTAGGTTAATAATCCTGAAGAAAATCTCAAACCGAAACAAAATCCAAAATGACCAAGGGACGACTCCAGACAATTATCAATAAGAAATTAGTCTAAACCTTGAGTTCCCTGGCACAAAATTCCAAAAAGTCTCGCCCAAAATCAATTAGGGACCGAGACCAACCTTTCGGTATCAAGTCTCAAGATCAAAAGGGGCTGATTCTTCATTTAGATTTCGGAAGAAGGCTTTCATTTGTCAAACTTCTAATTTTGACATTGAAGAAAATTATAGAAAAAAGCGTGTTCAGTTTCACCCCAAGAATACGAACTGGAAGTGGGTTGTGAAAAAAATGACTGGTGAATGTTGAAAAATGCCTATAGAACATATATCAAAAAGTAGAACAGGTCTAAAGAAAACGC